ATATACATAATCCCATCCACATATGTAGTCACATACACATACATACATAAACAAATTTATGAGAAAATGCAAAATGTATCTCAAAACCTTTTTTTCTCTTTTTTAGTTTATTCCTAACCTAGTGTGTCAGATGTTCTGTAAATGATTAAGAAGGTACAAATACTGTTATAGCTAAGATACTCAAGTATAAAATCTTTGTTACAATGGAAATCCAATTTACTACCTTCCACGACAGGAAATCCACTCCAGAGACTCCCTGACAAGACGTACATCAGTAAATTTCCACCTGCGAAAATTTACTTTTTTCATATTCATCCCTACTTACAATATATCAAGGGGTGTTCATAAAAAAAAAGCATTTGAAAACAAACGAATACAATCGTGATGTTAAGAAAAAGCAGAAAATAAATCCAGTTTTATTAAAATATACACTTGTCTTATCAAACTGATAATTTTGGCATTGTTTAGTGAAGTACTGAAGAGTAAAATAAAAAAGAAGGCTTGCTTTACCCAATACCTTTCTTTTCTCTCAAAATTTTTCTTTATGGAATACGATAAAATAAATTCAAAAATGCTAGCAAACCATGCACTAAAACGTCTTTTACAAATGAGTGTGTATCCTTATTATGAACTGACTAGACCTCAGTTACCAATAATATATATTTGAAAAAAAAAGGGATTATCATTGGCCTTAATATAATGGACATTGACACATTTTTAACTTGCTGCTCGTACAGGAACCATGCACCCAACACTCTCGTAAGAAAAAAATTCAGACCTTGTAAAAATAATTGTAAAATTGATGTCTCACTAAACAATTCAAAATTATTAAACGATTACATGAATAACACAAAGGTATGGTAGTATAGCTACAATGAGCAAATGACAGGTTGATTTTGTAAGCATTCACTCCAGTTGAATTCAAAAACTCAATGTAATGGGACAGAAAGACAGAGGGGAAAAAAAAGTAAAAAAAAAAAAATCATGAATATATCTACACACAAACACACACTCAATATAACTAAATCTCCCATAACCTTACAAAAATGTGGCTTTAATAAAAAAAAAAAAAAGACAAAGATCAGGGAATTAGGATATATTCACAATGAGGAAACATTATCAACAAGTATGGGACAAATCTCAAATAATGCTGAGCAGGAAAAAAATCCTTTTTATCACAAGAAAAGGAAGAAGAAGAAGAAAAAAAAAAGATATGGTAGGGTTTACATTCTCCTCTCTGCACAGAGTTCATCTTTAAGAACTCCAGCATTGTGCTAATCAAACTTTGTATTACGACAAACTGCACTTTAGAAGAGTACATTTCTTCGTCATTTGGTAATTTAAGTCTGTGTAAGAACCTTACACAATTTGACTGATTTAACACCAATAAATTAAATATACATTATATTACAAATTCATTATGCATTTTACAAAAATCATTCAACTTGCACACATGTTACTTCTAAAGATTGATACAAATTCCAAAACTTCCTAAACTCGTACAAAAAACGGTCTGGATCTGTCATCTTTTGTGACAATTTTCAGAACGATGAGCCATATATCACCTATACATCTTTATATATCACTCAAGATCACTAGAGTAAAAATGCATTCAGAATAACTATGACTGACTTTTTACACTGAAACTTTCAGAACATCATTCAACCATAAAAAGGATAATGCCTTTTGTCAATTACTAAGTTCTCAACTTAAAACTGTTTGGTAACTCTCAAATTCTTTAATCTTTTTTTATCATAAAGGATGGAAAGAAAAAGAAAAAATGCTAAAAATCAACTAAAAGACTTCCATGAATAACATTGGTTAAAAAACACTTTTGCAGTCACTCTCACTCTCACTAAAAATATTTTCCCCTATTCGAAAGGAAACATCAAACTTCTAGTAGAACCGCTTTCGCTGCTGCTCTTTCTGTTTAACGTAGAACAGGCCCCCAATGAAGACACAGCCGCAGATTGCAATCACTCCAAAAATGAGGAGAAGAATCTTTTTCCAAGTCGACAACTCGGAGGGTTTTGGATCGTCAACGTGGTCTGCAAATGAAGGGCCCGTGTCAGATTCCAAACAAGACGGTTCTTAGTCATGTATCTCCCAGTTGTACTAATTCTATGTGTAAAGATGTTTTAGATAATATTACTTTTTTATTAGGTATCACATAAGTATTTATTAGCCTAGAAATAGAGTAGCCAAGTCCCCCAAGTGATGTACCAAGGAAACTTTAGCCCAAGTTTATATAAAGAACCATAAAATCTCTTAAAGAAATCATATCTCTAATCATCCTAATTCTACAGACTAATCAAATTTCAAAGAAAATAGATTAATGAACCTTATTCTAAGGCAACCTTCTTATCTACCTTTTTGTGCGTCATGTCTGTAGTATGTTGTGTATATAATATGGTATGTAGTGTAGTGTAGTGTATGGTGTGTGTTTATGTGTAATGAAACAGAACAACAGAAGAAATGGGATTTTTAAGATAACAAACAACTGCTTACAACTTACCTCTTGGTGGCTCAAAAAATGAGGCAGACGGCATTACATTGGCTCGGTCTTGAAGGATATCCTGAAAGAAAAAAGTATAGTATTAGCATAATCCCTTATAAAAGGAACTCATCTCTTATGTAAATTCCTAAAACTTCTGTAACATATAATCCTATTTTTTCTCATACACACACAACTGAATGAACTCTCACATATAAATTAATCATCTCTATATAAATTCAAGTCATCTATATAGACAAAAACACAAGGAATGTTCTATTAACATAACATATATAATATATGATTTCCATTAACCCCCATGATCTGGATGACGTGACCATAAAGTTATTAGAAAAGATGGCTTGCAGTGGAGGCGTTGTGAACAAGGCACCACAGGATTAGACTCATTTGGCATTTAGGAAGGGGCTTTTGTATTATTTCATTGATAGACAAGTGAGGAATGTACTATCCAAGAGTCATGCCTGAAAGAGCATCAGCTCCAGGAAGGATGCTATTTCCAGGATCCTATTCCTGACTACCGTGACTAGTGGCAAAGATTGTATTTAAAAAAACTGAAGGTTACGAAAAAATATAAAAAATTGACAGAAATATCAAAATGTCACTTATTGTTATGGAGTACTTAGAGAGATGATATTAAGTCTGTGCAAGGAAAACAGTTAATTAACATCTAGATAAAGCAAATCAAGACAAATATAGACATTAGAAAATGGCAAAAAAACTAAAAACACTTATGCAGAAAAAGAGAAAATAACACTGCAAAGGGGAGAAATAGAGTCTTGTCAATGCACTTGAGTGTTCATGTACATCCTGCCTACACGCCACACACTCGTCAGAGTGCCTGCTAAAGTAAGTCAAATGCCCGTATTTTGGGCCAAGTGACGGCAGTGAAGCATCTAGATTCAGTGGGAAAATTCCACAGGTGCTACTATTACCATTCATCAAATCTAATTTTCATTCTCAAAATGATTCAACATTCAGATCAATTAAGTATGCCTATTACTTCTACTATTCTTGCATAAAACATTTTACTTTTAAAACACAATATAACTGCTTACCTACAACCAACAACAACAACAAATATAAAAGCAGCAACAAATAACATCATAGGATCTCTCGTATAGGAAGTCCAAAATACTCACATCATCCGGGGTGGAAATATCATATAATTTCATTGATATTAGGTCGTGGGCATCGCTAAGATCCCCAGTGGCAGCCGATACGCCAAAGTAGTATCCGGTGGGTAATATGACTCCGCCCACCGTAAAGCACTCCTTAAACGCTCTCTTGTTGTCGATGTCTATAGAAACTGCGAAGAGACCCAGACAATTGACTACTGATTCCAGAAACGGTGAAAAGCAGAGGAAAGAGGGGATAAATAAGAAAGGAGAAGATAAATAAGGAAATGGAAGATAAATAGGGAAAGGGAAGATAAATAAATAAAAGGAAGATAGATAAAAAAGGGAGATACATAAGGAAAGAAATTATACATAATGAAAGGGAAGATAAATAAGGAATGAAAAGATAAGTAAGGAAAGAAAGATAAATAAGGAAAGAAGATAAATAAGCTAAAGACATGATAAATAACAAAAGACCAGATAAACAGCGAAAGACAAGACAAGCAAGAAGAAAAAGCTCAACAAGTAGAGCCAAAAGCAAAGAGAAAAGATTCACATGAATAAAATGATGTTGGAGGCAGCAGGGAAGCAGACGGAAGAAGTAGTACTAGAAGGAATAAAGGAAAAGGTAAAAGGAGGTGGAGAAGAGCAGAAAGCTGTAGGAGGAAAAGAGAATGAGAAAAAAAGGAGATAGAGAAGAGGACGACAATGTAGGAGGAGGAGATGGGAAAGTAGGTGAGAAGGAAGAATAAAAAAGCAGGAAAAAAAAAAAAAAGATGCAGAGATGATAAGAACAATGAAAAAGGAGAAGAGGAAGAAGAAAAATGCAGGTGAAGAGGAGGAAGAATACACAGGCAGAGAAACATAAGATACAGAACAGTAAGACTATCAAAACTACATAATTCATCATCTGCATAATGAGCACATTATCAACAATAGCAATAGGAATTATGAAATGAAAAGCACAGTGAACTACCTATAGGCCTATCTTACCTGTTAATGTGTCATGCTTGTATCTGATTGACAGGTAAGTGTCATAATCCAAATTCCTGAACTTCGCCACACATCCAGAGAGCTGCGTATGAGTTCCGTCTCGGTCATGGTCGTAGTGGAGAGTACCATTGTTCACCATCGCAGAAATGTATGGGTGACCGTGCTGTACATATGAAAAATGGAGTTTGAGCATTTGGATAGACATCGCACAAAGTAAATACCGGATCTGGTAAAAAGAGGATAAGATTCTCTCTCTTTTCCTGATGTTATCTGAATTTCTAAGATTTAACCGTGCTTCAAGCAATTACTCATTCTGATCAATCAAGATTTAAAAAACTATAGTCAAATTTTAATGAATCCTCACAATATATATAATAAACAGCATTCCTATTCTAATTTCTCTACAACCATCAATACACATTTTATATTTCCAATAAAATATCACTGTACTAAATCAACAGGAAAGACCTGCATCTTACATTATGTGGGCCATTGTGGTTGCTGTAGGTGTCGGCAATAACCCCCAATCCAGTGAAGAAATCCTTGCTGCCGAAAACATCACCTTCAGCCATGGGATCTTTCACATACCTATATAAAAAGAAAATTATTCAAAACCACAAAAAGAAAATAGGCAAATAGATAAAAAATAAAAAAATAAAAAATAAAAAAATAAAAATAATAATAAAATAAATAAATAAATACTAAGTGTCACATACTATCAAATGATGTACAAGGGTCGGTAAATACGAGTCCTGACCATGTCTACTTTGTGAGATTAACAGCAACTACCTGTCACTTAAGCTTCTCATAATGGAAGTGACACGGACACTTACCACCATATAACTACTAATATAAAAAATCCAATCCATCAAAAGCAAAACTAAACAACTTCTCCTGTATACCACACAAGAAATGAAATCATGGGAAGTGAGCAATTACCCTGTTTCTTAATATTAACATATATATATGTTTAAAAGTATTTGCTTTAAATTTTGTCAAATCTCCTTGATACCAATAACTCTTGCATGCATAATGTAAAAATAATTTCTATTTTGCAATACAGTAGATTATCCTTTTCATACTGAAGCAGATATAAATTTCTAAAAATTTACAAGGAATACAACAATTTATTAGGTTCCTTAACTTCTATAAAGAATGAGAAAATATTTTACATGGAATACAACAATTTATTAGCCTTCTTAACTTTTACAAGGAATGAAATCCCTACATTTAACATTTCACTTATTTCCTATAACATACTGGAAGTTATGCAAACTGACTGTACAAAAAGTACCCTTGAATATGAAAATATGATACATAAAAGAGACAAGACACAAAGGAACACGAAAGGGAAGAAATTCATGAAAAGACTTCGAAATCTTCACTTACCAAAAGGCAAATCCGTCACCAAACAAATCCTTCCCCCGACCGTGGACTTTGAACTGAATCTGCATCTCCCAATTTTGCACGAAACACGGAACCTTATTCCAAACAGCTCCTCGCACACTCTGGACATCTCCCGTCAAACGAATATAATTGTTGGTAACCATAGTGTTACCCAGGAAGTCCCAGTATGGTATAGAAGTCCCCATTCCTGTAAAAAAACAAAAATCAAATGAAATTTATGCAAACCATCAATAAATAATTACCTGTATGTTTTATGAACTATATATACATTTCCCTATCATCCCCTCAACCAGTTCAAGAATTGTTCATGTGAATAAATGTAAAATCAAACATGTATTGTTAGCTGCAACACACCATGTGGAGTGCATCTAACTTTGTACCTCATAACCTCACCCATGGTTTTAAATATTCTGTCAGGAAAGAAATTGCACTGATCCCTTATTTGATGATATACCTTCCCTAGTTTTGTCAATGCATATCCCATACCATAGACAATACAACAATCACACATGGGAAAGCAACTTTTTGAGCATTTTTACAAACAACCAAGGAATCTTTTCTATCTGTAGATAAATTGAACGTCCTTGAATAATTCTTTTTCCGATATACTGCTATTTTCCAGACAATAGCACACGAGTTTCAGCATATCAGTCTAGGATGCAAGTAAAAAAAAATTCCCCGATAACAATTCACAGACACTGACGGCGCAGATAATACTTCACTAATTTAAACACACATCGGCTGGTTTCAAACTTGGACAATATTATTCAAAAAGGTCTGCAAACACTACATGCAGAGTTCATAATATGACTGAAAACATTAAAAACATCTTAATTACAGAAGTAAGGCCCTTGGACTTTTTCTGTCAATTTTTGTATTTCTGCATGAATTTGAGGCTTTCTGGATAAATTAGATAGTCAATTGTCTAGAATATTTCTATATACAATATACAATATTATTTTTCTTCAAAATATTGTGATATTTATGAGAATGCTCATGTTACTTCCAGGACCTCATTCTGATGACGCCTTGTTTGTTTACACAGGCATTATGTCTGCTACCTTGTCAGTGAGATTGGGTCATTCCATTTGCCTGTGGAAAATTCATATGGAAAAGCAAAAATCGACAGAAAAAGACCTAGTGTAATTGGGCCTTTAATGAAGCAGCCATTTCCTGTTTTCATCAAATATTAATTTCATCTATATCATTTCTCATATCAATTATTTTCCAATAAAAATATAGAAACTTGGAGTACATAAACTGAAGTTGTTTCGTTGTTAGCAAACACATTCAAAGAAAATGGAATAACAGAAAATGAGACATATAGAAAACAAACTTGTAGAAAATGTAGACTAACAAAGAACTCTCGCTGCGTGAGGGTGTTGTGGACTTGGTCTCTGAGCTATGATATGCAGCGAACATTATCTTCATTTACCGGTAAAGATAAGGCTGCTGCAGATTAAACTATGT